CTCAGGCCATTCATGTAAGGATGGCTATTCTAGCGATGCTTGTCAATTTCAAGCCTCCAAAATAAGTCTCAATTTACTCAAATTTCCATACTAGCTTTCAAATGAAGCAATGAATGACACATGTAGCATTCTCTTCGGGACAACATGCAACAGCATAGGAACAAATAACCTAAGCTGAATGGCAAAAGTAATCCCCTTAAAAATATATTTCTACACATTTTCATTAGGCATCAATTCATATAATTGTCATTGAGCCTTACATGAGTGCAGTAAGAAGCATGATCAAATCCAAAACCACATCCGTCTATTGAAAGTAAAAGTATTATCATTTTACCAAGAAGCTGCATATTGAACTCTGACGGATAGTACTCAAGCCCGCAACCGTTTATTGAAATAAAAGTACTGCCATTTATCTAAGATGCCACAAATCGAACTTTGATAGATGGAACCCAAGACATGCATGAAAGGATGACTATTCAAGTTATGAATGTCAATTTCAAGAATAAAAAATAAGCCTCAATTTACCCATATTTCCATACAAACTTTGAAATTTAGCAATAGAAGGTACGTGTCGCAATTTTTTGGGGGACTACAAACAACATAGGAACATATAACCTAAGCTGAAAGGAAAAAGTAATCCCCATAAAGATATATTTCAGCACATTTTGGTTAGGCATCAATTCATATAATTGTCATTGAGCCTTACATGGGTGCAATAAGAAGCATGATCAAATCCAATACCACATCCAAATAAAAGTAGAGTGTTTCTCAAAGAAGCCATATATTAAAATCTGATAGAAGCATGGAAGCCCACAACCATCCATTGAAAATAAGTGCTGTCATTTCTCTAAGATGTCACATATCGGACTTTGATAGATAGAACTCAAGCCATTCATGTAAGGACGACTATTCCAGCTATGCTTGTCAATTCCAAGCCTCCAAAATAAGCCTCAATTTACCCACATTTCCATGCTGGCTCTCAAATGAAGCAATGAATGACACGTGTAGCATTTTTTTGGGGACAACATGCAGCAGCATAGGAACAAATAACCTAAACTGAATGGAAAAAGTAATCCCCCTAAAAATATATTTCCACACATTTTCATTAGGCATCAATTCATATAATTGTCATTGAGCCTTACATGAGTGCAGTAAGAAGCATGATCAAATCCAAAACCACATCCGTCTATTGAAAATATTTTCTAAGAAGCCACATATCGAGCTCTCATAGATAGTACTCAAGCTCAACCATCTGTTGAAAGTAAAAGTACTATGATTTATCTAAGAAGCCACATATTAAACTATGAGAGATAGCACTCAAGCCATACATGAGAGGAACACTATTCAAGCTATGCGTGTCAATTTCTAGCCGTGAAAATAAGTCTCAGTTTAACCACATTTCCATACAAGCTTTCAAAAGAAGCAATGACTGATAGATGTAGAAATTTTTTAGAGGGCTACATGTAGCAACATATGCACTGATAGCCTAAACTGAAGGGGAAAAGTAACCCTCTAAAAATATATTTATGCACATTAAGATTTGGCATCAAATCATATAATTGTCATTGAGCCTTATATGGGTGCATTAAGAAGCATGATCAAATTCAAAACAACAACCTTCTATTGAAAATAAAAGGAATGTCATTTTTGATTTCTCTAAGAAGCCACATACTGAACTTTGAAAAATAGCACTCAAGCCATGCAAGGAATGCTACTCAAGTTCTGCATGTCAATTCAATTCAATCCTCTAAAATAAGCCTCAATTGTCCGCATTTCCATACAAGCTTTCAATTTAAGCAATGATTGATAAATGTAGAAATTTTTTTGGGACTACATGCAGCAACGTAAGCACTGACAGGCTAAGCTTAAAGGATAATGCCCTAAAAATTTATTCTTGCACATTTAGATTAGACATCAAATCATATATTGTCATTGAGCCTAGTACGAGTGAATTAAGAAGAATGACAAAATCCCAAACCAAAAAGATCTAAAAAAAATGAAAGTGCCATCATTTCTATAAGAAGCCACATATCCGATTTTAATAGATAGTGCAAGCTATGCATGTAAGCAATAAATTGTAGATAAGTCCAAAATAGAAAATACATTAGAACCTTGTTAGACCGTCCTTGAGTGGGAATATAAAATGATTAAATCACAACATACATTGAAGGCAATCAAACTGCAAATGATTTAGCAAAGACAGCGATACATGACAAATTTACAATAAAATCTAAACTTCTAACCTTTAATCTATGCTTCCTAAGTGGAGGCCTTAATTCTCCATATGTTGAAGACAATACCTTTTCAACGGATACATGCAGAAGCATAAGCAAGTCACCTACAGAGAAAACAGTGAGATTCTGCACTGAAGAAATGGTGGCCATGTCATGCTTCATACCTGCTATTACATAATAATCATAATGCATCACCCTTAAACCTAACCCCCTTTTCCTTCACCCCCCACATAAAAAAACCTCAAGAACCCAAGGGAAAATAGATGGCCAAAGAGATAGATAAATAATAAATTTTTCATGATTCACCTATTAGCAAAATAAAATAGAGCCTTAAGCACATACAATCCCTTTCATTGATGAACCTCCCCTATTTATACTCACATAAGTAATAAACCTATTTTCTAGAGGCAAATCCACATAATCTTAGAACTGTTAGAAAGCATAATTCAACACTGATTTTAATTTAAACAAAACAAATAAAGGCAAAATAATTTTTTAATTTCACAACAATGCCGAATTAAGTTTAATGAAAATAAAAATCAAATCCACAACAAGGACATGAATCACGAGTAAACAACAAATGTATCTTTCTTCCTTGTATACCTCCTCCATGCGAAAGTTCACCTCTGCTCAATTTTCTTAAACAAATAAGAAAAAAAAAGAGTATATATCTTGTAACTTGTACTAAATTGAAAAAACTTACAACCTTCTCTGAATAACAACAAATCTCCTTGAGTTTTATTGAAAAATTGTTAGATAGATTGCAATAAAAGAACACCACAAAACAGAAAAGGTTTGGCAACGCCGTATATAAAACATAACATATCGACGTTGTTAGATAGATGATATACTCTTACCATATCCTACAGGAGTCATTATATCTGATCTGATTCTATCCACCTTTCCTTTTCCATTCTAAAGATTGTGTATAAAGCATAACATAAACTAAAAGAAGAAGAAGAAGAAGAAGAAGAAGGATTTGCAGCAATAATCCTATACAAGAAAAATTGTTAGATAGATTGCTTCTGGTAGTAAGCAACGCCGGATTTGGAAATACGCATGTCGACACCGGCGAAACGGCTCTTTCCCAGTGGGAGTATGGGTTCGAAGGCTTTGAAGCGGAGAATCTCTGGCTGCACGAGTTCACTCGGATAGCGATTGGTCATGATGAGTCCACAGTCGCGCTCACGGCGACGGCGATCTTCGTACTGCCGAAACATTGAATTTGTTCAATTGCCGGCGCCCGAGCCATTTTGTGCTTTTTCGTCGTCTCCCCTAAAACCCTAGCAATTGCCACGCGACGAGGAGAGGAAGCAATGCCTGTTGTCGATGCCCCTGAACTGAATCAATTCCAAGTTACCGTTACCAGGATCGAATCAGCTTTCTCTCGAGCAGGATATTTTGAGGTTGCGTAAAGGGGTAGGCTTAAGGGGTCGCGTGAAAATAACAATAACAAGAAGATTTATTTCCATACGATTTTACGGGAATATTTTAATTTAATATTTGAGAGAAAAAATAAAATAAAAATATAAAGATTTAAAAATATTTTATTTATTTTTATAACATACTTTACTTTAATATACTCATAATTATAATTTATTTTTATAATAAAAAATTTAAGTAAGTTAAATTTACCGAGAACATAATTTATTATCCTATATAAATTAAAATTGAAATAATAATTTATTTTATTTAAAATTTATTTTTTATGTATATTAAATATATAAATAATAATTTATTTGTAATTAGAAAGTGTTGTTCTAGACAGTAGGAACGGCCACTTGCCAACGTCTTCTTGACCGAAGCTTACTGCCGCTACACTTGAGTTCTCTTCTTTTTTTTTTTTTTAAATAAACATGAAGAGAAATTTTAAAATCATGTGAGAAATAAACTTTTGATTCCCCACAATAAATATTTTTAGATCCATCACTTTCCACCTCATATAAATTAAAATTTAAATATCAACTTTTATTTTACAATGTGTTATCCTTAGACAAATACTATTATTTTTAAATTTATTACCTCTTGAAATTTAAAATATAATTATCTTATTCTCTTTTGATATTTTTTTTTATATGTGTACAACAATAAACCATGTACTATTTTATAATTTGTTATTAGCTTTGCATTCTATTCTATACTTTATTATCTTATATATATACACACACATACAAAATACAAATAATAAAATACACACGGCTATTTCAAGGCAACAAATCATAGGCCTCATACTGTGCTTATCATTTTTCTATGGATTTCATATTTACCCCCTTTTTTTTACATGAATCTCATACTTTTTTTTCCATAAATTATAATGTGGCTCACGTGTTTAGTGATATATGATGTAACATTGGGTAGGATAAAATTATTTTCCTCTCAAAAAAAATATTATTCATGAAAATATAATATTTATAATCATAATTAAGTCTCATCGGGTCAATGGAAATTTCTAAAAGAAGTAATTTTTCAATTATAAATACGAAATAGGAATTTTCCATTTGTAACCTAAATCGAATAGATTTTTGCGGTTTATTTTACATTGAAAAATTAAATAAAAATGTTTAATATTGATAAATTAATTTATCAATATTTGTAATTCTTTATTACAAAAACAGCGGACTTAACAAAAAAATACAAGGGGGAAAAAAAGAAAAGCCACCCGTAACAGTATATAGTATAAATCAATTTTATTTTTGGATATCATGTTTTGACTCTTTTGACATTTACTTCCAAATGATGCATACGATTAGAAGGCAGAGAGGCTGCGCAGCATAGGAAAAGCCAATGTCCTGATTGGTGTAGCACAAAGGGCTATTACAAAAGAACATAAATTACAATGCCGAAAAAACTAGCTAGGTAGGGCATGGTAAATTCGCAAGCCACTGATCTTGGTTCACGAATGATGACAACGAAAACTGCTTTAGCTGCGAAGTAGATAGTTTCGTCTCCCACTGCACGCGCCTATTTAAACTCGCCCCTGGTCCTGTACAACCAACTTCAGCGTACATCAAATTTTTCCTGCATTATTTTGTTCTCTAACTAATTAATACTCAACATAGATTTTATGAAAAAAGTTAATAATTATTGAAATGCGTGAAAGAAGTTAATTAAACTGACTCTTGTCCTGCATGACTCCAAGCATCCCATCCTAGAGGATCAACCACTGAATCCAAATATGTTTCATGAAATATGACTCTGGAGTATGGACCATAGGCTCTTCCCAACATAACTGGACCACTTCCAACAACCCTACCTCCCTTGAATACAAATCCACTTGTCTCCTCTTTTGATTCTCTCCCTTGCGCTGTTATATAACCCAAAGCCACTTGAGCCTTTGACGTGCTTAATGACGCATTCACATAACAATTCTACACCAAATACGAAGTCTATCGTTAACTCAAAGCAGAACATACATATGGATTATAAAAAAAAATGAATTTGTTGAGTCATTAATCTGTTATTTCTGTGCACCTCGTAATAGGACTGGCCGTTGCCGAAAATGAAGTCCACTGCACCCTCGATATAACAATTCTTAAAGTAATGACGACCCTGTACATCCCAGAGTGTATCTTGAAAACCCAAGAAGCCACAATCGATAAAAGCAGATTTGTCTCCATATATTCTTGCTGCTAGTGCTGGTTGTATGATTCGGCTTCCTCTAATGTATGATGCTGTTGATAGATCCCACGAGTTCTACACCAACAAATAGATATAATGTTTGTTTTGACCATCTTATTTATCATACATGCTTGACATTTCTTCGAAGACAACGGTAAAAATCATAAGGAATTAAAGTTTGAGTCATAGAATTACTATATTGTTTTTTGCAGTGACCTGACCTCGAAGTTGATGCCGGCGACAACAACACTGTTGGGAACAGAGGAGAACGTGGCGCTGGAATCTGTTTGCTGGTGGCCATTGTACGTAATTGTTGTAACGGCTCTGCCTTCCCCTTCTAAGAAGATACATGGTTTTTCATAAGGAACCTCGACCTTCTCTCTGCACGTAAGAAGAATGAATAATCACTCATTCCTTTTAACATGAAATTAAATTTGCCTGGGTATAATAACATAACATACATGTATTTGCCTGGGTATATGTGGATTTTAACCCAGCGATCATTGTTGGTGTTTATGGAATCAATTGCTGCTTGAACTGTTTTGAATTGACCATTTGACTGACCAACGGTAATGGTATAGGCAATCTCCTTCCCACTGCAGTCACTTGCCATGCTGTTACCAACCAAAAATGATGGACGGATTATGAATCCAAATAAAGGGAAGACGATTAGTTGAGGAAGTAGTTTCATTGGATCAGTTTAAGATCACAAACAAAGGTGGAAGATGAATTGATCATTTTTTGAGATTTTATACCTGAATAGCCCCGTTGCAAAATTACTATGTATAATTTCAATGATTTTAATGCATTAATTGTATTACAACAATATTCCACATGTCAACGTTACCTCATCTTTATGCTAACTAATTACGCTTTCATCTTATTAAGACCGAATCTCAATGGGAGAGAATGTAGGGAAGAGCTATATTTAGGAGGATGGAACACTTTAATTACGCTCAGTTTTAGAGCATATAATTTTTTAATCGTTTTGACTAGGAAAAAATAATTTAAAAAGAGTTTTGACTTCTGGAGCAGATTTTTTTTATTGATAGATTTACCGTTTATGCTAGTTATTCTCATATTTTGAATCAAAAGAATTATTTATGCATTTTCTTCCTTGTAATCATTTAGCCACTCTTTATTAAGCTTATTCATTTATTAATAAGTTACATCAAGAATCAGTCTAGTCTCTTCAATTTTTGATACGTGGTAATTTTTTTATGCATCATTGATCTTTTCGTGGTGTTTCTTTCTTTTGATCATATTATGAACTTCCACACCACCGATTAACATCTTCCCATTTTTCATTTGCAAGACTAGTTTATGCAAATTTATAGAACTCTCCTCCATCATATTTTTAAGACAATTAATTAAAGTGTCAAAGTGGCCATATAATTCTTTCTGTTGATAACAATTGTTCCTATCATATATTTTTATTTTCTTTTATTTTTATTTTTTTAACTTGATAAAAAATTCTAAATGTTAAACATGTTACCAGTTAATTAAACATATTTTGAAATTAATAACTAAAGTTTATATTTAAATATCCAATTTTTTTGTTTACATGTTTTTAAAATTTTTCGTAAATCTTGAAAAGTTATATATAAATGATAAAATAAAGAAAGATAAAACTTAATTTTGAATCTCGTTAAACTGTTAATAAATGTAATTGATTACTAAATTTAATTATAATAAATAAGATTTCATATTGAGGAATACTAAATTAGTAAACAAGTAATATCAAAATTTATATATACAAATCACATTTTATTATATCTATAAAACAATAACCTTATTCAGTTGTTACAAGTGGCATTATAATTTTATGACAAGTACTATTTTTAATTGTTAGCAAAATATTTGACATCATATTTTTTACTTAATTTTATATATAATATAAAATTTTAATTTTCAATTTTTTACTAATTAATTAAATTACAATTTAGAATTAATAATTGAATTTCCTATTTATGTAAATAAACTTTTCATTTAGGTATTTCTAAGTTTTTGTATAAATCTTAAATAATTATATTGGATTAATGAAATAAAAATTATATAATTTAATCCAACATTTTTTATATTTTATTTAATCATGTAAATTTTTAAAAATTATAATGCAAAAATAGCTAAAAATACAAATTATAAAAATATGTATTTAATCTTTATCATTAATTTAGAGAAATTTTTAATTGAAAAATCAAAATGGGTTTGATGGTCTTGATTTGTTACTAAAAAAAAAAAGTACATAATAAAATTAAAATATCTCAATAATATAAATTAAAGAATTATAAAAAAAAAATTGAAGGCAAATAGTTCAAAGTGAATATGAGTTCTTGGATTTAATTTTTCCAATCTGAATGAATAGTCCCAACGTTACTTAATCCATAATTTTTCTGCTCCTCGCAATTAACCAAACCACATCCTACCAACTGTTTGTTGAAAATTCTGAAAGTACTTCAAACCCAAGCAATCTTCCACTTCAAACACCACCAGAAACAAAACAAACAAACAAACAAAACAAGAACATTTCTCCAACAACAAAACAATTCACAATTACACAAATCTACGATCCCTGCATTTGTCCTTCAATAACCATCCTCTCATTTCAATGCATTCTTTCAAGTCTCTTTCTGATAGAAAGATCCAGACCCTCTTTCCAATAGTTCTGTCTTCTATCATAGTTCTAGCAAGTGTGAGATTAGTCCTGGACATCTTCAAGAGCAATCAGAGCAATATTTTGAGGATCTATGGGAAGCTTAAGGGGGAGAACAATAGAGTACACATCGTAGTTTCGCCCGAGGATCGCCTCTTGGAGGGATGTAATGTGTTTGAAGGGAAATGGGTGTGGGAAAATGAGTCATACCCTCTTTATCAAGAACACAGCTGCCCTTACTTGGTGAAGCAGACTACTTGCCTCAAGAATGGGAGGCCTGATTCTTTCTATCAGAATTGGAGATGGCAGCCCCATGGATGCAATCTCCCAAGGTAACTAACTCCAAAAGATGAACACGAGTAATACATACAGACACTGTGACATGACAGAACTTGAAATGATGGGTTTGTGTGTAACTTGATGGGTTAGTATTGTGGTCAGGTTGTATGTAGCTAAATTAGTTTACCTATCTAGCTATGTTGAGAGTGGTTGTGTTTTGTAGAATTTGGATGCTTTGAAGTTTAGAATGCTTGAAGTTGGTGAAGTTATATGCAAAGTATTAGTGCTCTCCGTTTATCTTTCTCTACATATACCCAATATATATATATATATAATGCAAAGTACTAGCTTCACCTACTTCAAATGCTCAACTTTTAGATGGATATACTCTTACCATATAAGGGTACAGGAGTCACTATATTTGATCTGATTCAATCCACCTTTCCTTTTCCATTCTAAAGATTGTGCATAAAAACATAATATAAACTACAAAAGAAGGACTTGCAGCAGTAACCTTTATAAGAAATTGGCATAGCTTGATGGCTATTTTTGGCATTAATGGTAACGGTATGCTCAAAGTGCTCTATGAAAGAATCGAAAGTTAATATTAAGGCATCCTATCTCCTCTTATCAATGAGCTAACAGGACCCTTTTCTGAAGGGTCTAAGCTTTGTAGCATTATAAACGATCTTTTAAGAACTTAGCCAAGAAAGCTCAAGCACATTGATTTTTCAGTTGTGCAAAGACAAAGCTCTTGAATCAAAACCAGGGTGATGAAATTTTTATGAAGCAAACAGTGTGATTTCATTGTGTGAACTATCTATGACAAATTTGAAACAGAACATGCAGAGTCAGAGTGTAAACTCTGTTTTTTGACCTCAGATTTGACCCATTGAAGCTGTTGGACATGTTGAGGGGAAAGAGAATGATGTTCATAGGAGACTCACTACAAAGAGGCCAGTTTGAATCAATGGTGTGTTTGGTACAATCTGTGATTCCCGAAGGCAAGAAATCCCTCCACAGAATTCCACCCATGAAGATCTTCAAGGCTGAGGTATGTACCAATCTCGCTAGTCCCTCTGCTCTTTATCACTATGCCTTTAGAATATTCTTAAAACTTGTGTGCATCCTGACAGGAGTACAATGCATCAATAGAATACTACTGGGCTCCCTTCATAGTAGAGTCAATTTCAGATCATGCAACAAATCACACTGTTCATAAGCGCATGGTTAGACTGGACTACATAGCCAAACACGGCAAGCATTGGCAAGGTGTTGACATTCTGGTTTTTGAGAGTTATGTTTGGTGGATGCACAAGCCTTTGATCAATGCCACGTTAGTGATAGCTTCATTCAAATCATCTTCTTTTTCTGTTTCGTTTTGATTTGTATAAAGTTTGAAGAATGTATTGGGTTGGATCAGATACGGGTCTCCGGACCACGTGAAAGAGTACAATGTGACCACAGCATACAGATTGGCTTTGAAGACTTGGGCAGACTGGCTTGAGTCAAACATCAAACCCCTCACTCAGAAGGTCTTCTTTATGACAATGTCTCCTACTCATCTCTGGTGAGTTACCCCTTTACCTTTTCAAATATAGAAAATCGCATTGAAGGATCACTGGAGCAAGGTAATTGTAAAATAGGACTAAAGTACTATAAATTTATTCTAAAATCCCTGATATCACATCTGAAAATAAGCTTCGATAAGAAAAGACGAAAATAACTGTACTTATCATTTTTTCACTGCAGTGCTTATTATTTCCCACACATGCTTGTTAAATTATTGTTGTTACTTGTCATTTTTTACATACATGCTTATAAAAACAATACAATTGACATTTTCTACGACCATACTTGTGTCAACATTACACTTCTTATTTCCCACACTCGTGCCGATTAAAAACATTACAGTTACCTGTCATCTTTCATATGCATACTTATCAAAACTATATACTCATTATTGTTTTACTACTATGCTAATTAGAACATTACACTTGGTATTTCTCACATTCTTATAATCACTTGTTATTTTACATATGAATGCTTGTCAAAACGATATTTCTACCTGCTAAAGTTCGAAGAGTTATTTTTGTCTTTTCTCCTTCAGTCTTATTGTCAGATCTGAGGTCAGGGACTTCAGAGTAAATTCTGTTTTGGTCACTTTTTGTAATCAACGTGCTCCAGTGGTCATTCAATGCTATTTGCCTTTTCAAATTTCGCAAGAAGTGTGTGTGTGTGAAGGAGAGGGGGGAAAACAGAGAGATAGACTAGTGTAATTTTTCTTATTTTTTCTAGATTTAATGATTTGCACTGTCACGTTCCAAGTCTCAAATTAACCTTTGATTTTCATGTTCAGGAGTTGGGAATGGAAGCCAGGAAGTGATGAGAATTGCTTCAACGAATCATACCCAATACAAGATCCTTCATATTGGGGCACTGGATCAAACCTGGAGATCATGATGATACTGCATGAAGCGATAAAGGAGCTGAAAATAGATGTGACCTTGTTGAACATCACTCAGTTATCAGAGTACAGAAAAGATGCCCACACCACTGTTTATGGGGAACGAAAGGGCAAGCTCCTCACCAAAGAACAGAGAGCTAACCCTAAATCTTTTGCTGATTGCATCCATTGGTGCCTTCCTGGTGTCCCTGATACATGGAATCAAATCCTTTATGCCTATCTCTTGAAGAGATTTCAGAACTTTACCTAAGTACGAGCTACTTTGCTTATTTCGATTTATCCAACCCATATTATTTCAATTAATGGAAAAATTTTGGAGCTCTTTTCTTTTCATTTTATTTCTAACAACAAAAAATTTAGATGAGTTAGATCTAGATACTCATTAAAGTCAAAGGAGACATCATGGTTCAAAAGTGCTTAGATATATTTAAAGTTACCTAACAACAAGATCCGTATATTAATAACTATATGCAACTGAAATTGGTATTTAAACTTTAGTTGGCAAAAATTAAGGGAAATCAAATAATTTAAAAAAGAGTACTATTCAACTTGAGAATAGAAACATTACCATCAAATCATCTTCATATGCAAAATCATATTAACAAGCTTGATCTTTGGAACTATTAAATGACAAAGTAATTGATTCCTAATTACATAAAAGCTATCTGATTGCAATTAGAATAGATCCCACCATTTATGCTTGGCATCCTTACGCAGGGGCCATGCTAAATCAGAAGATGTTTTGAATCAATTCAGTGGAGAAGTTTCTGATGCTACTTGATTGTCCTCCTTGTTAGTATCTTTGAACCATGTTCCTAACTCTTCATACCCCTTGCTAGCATCTTCTTTGTACCAAAAGAATTTAGGATTCTTTTCTGATGAAGGAAAATAATTAGTCAACAAAGGCATGCATATATAGCAGTTCTTCGACCTTCCTAAAACACATACGTGATTTCTTGAATTACCTTACATTAAAAATATGGGCAACTATGATACAATATAGTGTAGTCATAGAATGAACTTTATTATTCAATTTAAGTTTAATTTTATATAATTCAAAATTAAACCACACAGTCTCTCTAATAATTAAACACAAACAATTGAATTGCTTAGTCCTAAAAGCACAGTTCACAAGCTAAATCATATTTAGTGGCTTCCTAGAGGATATACAAACTTACTGTAAATTGCATTTGTAAAGCCACCCCCTTCAGCTCAAAACTTGTAAGAAGCATGGTTTCCAACAATCATCATCATCAATCTTCAATCAATCTTATATCTAAAAGTTGGATACTGATAAATAGTACAGAAGCAATGATATTCCCATTTTATAATTTGCTTTTTCTGTCAATATAACTTTGTGTTTTCTTCTGTTAGTGGGTCCCGTTGTCATCATTTTTTCCTAAGCAAATAAGATGATTATTGCATATTTCAATTATAATACTTTTCAACACATCAGTGGGTTTCATGGCATTTTTTTAATACTATTTTTCCAAAATTTTTCCTTCCATGCTTTTGTATTTCACTATCATTTTTGGTTCCACGTAACTTTCATTATGATAGTTTTTTTAAGATAGCACAACTTGAAGCACAATCTTATAAGTTGAAATTGGATACCAAAGAAATAGAAATGTAGTAAAATATTGTCTTAAATTCCTGATGCATTGCACGGAGGGTTAACTCTAGCTGCAAGAAAAATTTGGATTCATCACAAAAGGGACCAAGATCTTAATGATACGGCACACAAGTTAAACATGGGATACACATAAATGAAGAGAATGAATAAGCACCTTGATTGATCCTCCTTGGAGTTCATGAGGAAGAGAATTGACTTCTTCATCATCTATAAATACCCAGGTTTCTTCAAGCTCCTCATCATCTGTCAAATGAATCTCTTCCATCTTGGACTCCATTAAAGTGGTCAGGTCTGCATCTGGACAAGAAAAAGCTAGATAAGATTGGGGACAATGAAATATATGTTGATATCATCAATCAAGATTCACTTCTAATATGCTTCATTTCTGCAGATAACTGCAGAGAACCCATGAAATCAAGACGAAAACCTTGACTGAAAATGCAGAACTCATTGTGGTCGGGAAAAGAAACACAAGTGACTAACTACTTTGAGAATGCAAACTATTTCAAATATTTTACCTATCTACAGGAAAATACTTGCAGCATAATAAAGTGCATTTCTGTTTAATATTTTGCAAAAATCACCTATGTAGTGATGGAGTTAAGTTTCTCTCCAAGTCTTTTAGTCTTATCGTATCCAAGTACACGCAATATTACTTTGCGCACAGAATACTAATATTTTGCATAGAATTTGTGAAAACAACCTTGAAGTTTGAGCCTCTAAAGCTTGTAAATGATTCTATGCATTTGTGTATACTATGAGAACATAACACCAAAGCGTACCTAAAGAGAAGCTGAACTTGTAGGAACACTAACTTACTAGTAAAATTGACTCGAGACTTTTCCAATCCTATGTTTACAATAAAATGACAATCGATCCAGGATTTTAAGCAACTGACAAGGTAAGAACCACTTGACCTGAAAACTTATACAATATTAACGGGGAATATCCAAATCAGGTTCATATAAGACCAGATAGGTACTAAAATGTTTATTGCAATACTAGACAGGCAAAAAAAAATTGACATCGTCACATAAAACCTATGGTTCTCATGTTTCTCCATAGCTAAAGTGAGATTATAAATTTGATATGGCATGCATTGGCTTTGACTGTGGCTGACAAGGGAGCTCACTTGATGGGGGATGGCATGATAATATAAATTGACATTTCTTTCATTTTTGTAAACTTACCTGTACCTGGTGAGAAACATATCATAGCATTATTCCAAGCAGAATTCATCTCTCCACGTTTGATTTCAGAAAAGTTATTCAAAGGCACCAAATATTCAGGCTCCAAAGTCTCTCCTTCTGAACAATTTATTAAACCAGCCATTGTAAGAAATGAAATATTATGTACATATCAGAATTATGATAAAAGTAGAAGATACCAACCATTTGATTCCACTGATTGTCTGCTACCACATGAAACAAGTCCAGCTAAATTGATCCCATCTGATTCTGTTGTTGATTTTGCAGATGGGTTTTCATAAACTAAGGAGATTTTAGAACATAATGGTGCTTTCTGTGGCAGATTGTCTGAAGATTCTGCAGAACTAGAAAGACATTCACCACCGGTTGTGATGTTATCATCAATAATTTGCCCTTCTACTGAGGAGGACTGAGAGTTCACATCTACAATTGGAGTTTCGTCTGAAATATCATCCATACTAGCATAAGAATCACAGCTATAAAACATCTCACTGGTCACTGTGGAGGCATCCAGTTGTTCTATATCACTAGAAGACAAATCATCAAACACTTGAGGGGCTGTATCATTTTCTCGGACAAATGCACATGAGTCTTGTTCTAGTTCTACGCCATATGAGTATTCCACTTTTCCAGCCAAAGCTTTGCATTCAGATAATGTCAAATTCAGTTGCTCAATGTTGAATTTCAGACCATTTTGTTCATTGCTCACATGCAAGTTATCTTCAAACAAACTAGAAGTTTCTCTTGAGTTGTCCCCATTGCCTTCTTCCTCCTTGTCATCATCACTAACATTTGCATGAACTTGTTGATTTTTGGCGTGATAATTAATGGTGGAGCTTTCCTCAGTTGTTAATTCTTGTTTGATAGAGTCTATCATCAAATGAAGTAGCTCCTGAATATTAGAATAGATTCTTTTTCCACTTTCCCAGACCTTGATTCCAGCATATTTAATGTCACCACCAACAAAACAATACAAACAAATTAGTAGAAACAACTTCAATATCATTACTATGCAACTGCTATGTGACTGTGAAATTAAAGTACGTAGAGCAGTCAAAGATATGTTGAACTTTAGGTGTGATTTAACATCCCAATCATAGATTACAAAAGTTTAACATAGTCACATCTAACTGCACTCACATATAACCAGCTTAATTAACAAGTTAAATCATTAAACACTGAATTCACTCAAGCATGCATGCATGCATGCATATATACATACATACATGAAATTCAAGTGGTTTGACACTTGAGTTTGGGTCAAGTATTAGACGCTTTGCTTTGGTGGAATAGCTATCATACTGGTGTCTAGTGAAGTTTGAGTAATAATGTCATAAATCATAAATGACATGTCTCATAAAAAGTGTGTAATAATGAAGACATGTCTCGTAAAGTGTATATATGTTCATGTAAATGACATGTCTTGTAAAAAGTGTGAGATAATGTCACACATCTGGTAAAGTGTGTGAAAATAACATGCCTTGTAAGCAATGTGTAGTATTAAAAATCTGATAGAGGCTCAAATTAGTTGTAAGACACAAAACTTGTTCTTCGTTTTTTTGTTCCTAACAGCTAGAGTTATTATGTGAAGAATGAAAAAGGACCTCTTCTATGATATCTTCCACATCTTTGGCCACTTCTTCAACTTTCTGGTAAACATGTTTCAACCATATTTTCTTCCTTCGCTAAAAATACATGCCCACAATTGAGGACTCTAACAAATTCTCGCTAATGGTTTGCAATTACAACGTAACTGTTAAAAATTATAGTTGTCACTTGTCAAACATAGGTTTAATTTGGTATCATTTTTTTCAATAGAAAAAAAGGACTAAACCTAAACAGTATTATTCACTAGTAAGCAAAACGAGGGAATGAGACTCCCATAACATCTTGAAACATCAAAGACATCCTAGGAGGAAACTCAATCATTATTATGCAACTATCAACTTCATTAATGCTCCTAATTATATCTAAAAAAAATTAATATAGTAACGTCTAACTTGACTCACATAACCCACTAAATCTACAAATTAGATCATTTAACACTGATTAAACATTCAATCAAACAGATAATTTTACCTACACAAATAAGTATTTAATTTACTATCTATTCTCCTTTAGTTGATGTCGTCTAATATCTCTTCTAAAAGCTTGTTCGTATTGACCTACATGTGTTATTAAGAATATATAACTCTTAATCTCTTAATTTTTTTTAATTAATTATTCCTCTTGTGAATTTGAATTAGAACAACTCAATAATTTTATTGAGTTAAAAAATTATAGAGATTGCATTGTTTTACATCAAAGTTCAGTCAAATCGAATAAATAATTGAAAGAAAAATTTCAAGAACTAAATATATAATTCATTTTCTTAAATAGAAAATTTGATAGCTTATCTAAAAGAGAATAGCAGAAAGTTCATACCAAAAAAAGAACAGTGATGATTAAGAAAGAATGAAGAAACACATCCGTCTTCTGCCTCTTTAGAAAGTTCATCAAATTTCTAATAAGCATTTTTCATCCACATCACATCCTTTAGTTTTTTGAAATCCATGTCGGGCAGCTAGTCTTGCAATTAAATAATGAGATCGATGTTGATTTAACTAAATGGGATTAATTTATTAGCATCATCAATCTTGTATAAATTCAAGAGACTACACTAGAATACCAAAAATGTAAGATTAAGTATTGGCAGAATTAAAATTTTGAATTCACGATAGAAGAAAAATTACTTGAAAATAATTCCTTTTTGTTGCTAATAATTTAGATGAATTGAATTTTAAAAACTCACCAAAATGAAGAGGATACTAAAACTTACCTCCATAGAGCGAAAATGCTTGAACTCAAATTGACAATACTTTGGCAGAGAATGAAAGACGGTGACTAAAATATATAGTTGATAAGATGTTTAAATAAACAATGTTTTCAATATTCCAAAAGAGATATTCTCTCTAGTCCACTGTCCTTATATTTACCAAAACAAAATAGACACTTGATTGAATTTTGGGATAGATACTGGATTTTAGGACTAATATGGTTTTTAAAACTATTGTCATTTTTTATTTTATTAATTATATTGATAAATTTAAATTCGGGATATCACGTGTCATTTAAGTATTCTTTTTCATAACTATCCCATGAAAAACTAATATGTTCTAATTATTTTAAAAGTAAAATGACAGTAAACAAAAATTATAAATATTTCTCTTAAATTCTTTGTTTGATTAAGAAATTTTACCAAATTTTTTTACAGATAATAATTTGTGTAAAATTTTAATCTATTTTAAATGTTTATTTTTTAGTATCTCCGAATATTGTATTTTGTCATGCTACTTTGATTAGAACGGATTAAAAATTAAAAAAAAAAGTTGAAGAGACGAGATGAAATTGAAAAATAAAAAATAAATTTCTTATAATTAATGTGTACTTTTATGGGAAAATCTAATTAAGATACAGCCTCCTCTCCTTAAAATTTTCTTGCAAAAATTTTAAAAAAAAATTAGGGGAAAGGTCAGGAAAAAAATCAAGAAATGTTTGGATCACATAATTTAAAAAAACAAATATGTGCTCAAAAATTGATTTTTTTTTTGGTAAAATATATTTTTAGATCTCTAAGTCTAAAAGAATAAAAACTTCATCCTCAGGTTATCTCTTTTTTAATGTAGGTTCTAATTAGAGAATAGAGATAGTTTTTTCGAAGACATTTTTTTTTCCAACTATTCAACACATATGAACTACACTGTCATCTCTATTTCATTAACTAGGATTGTTAATTTTTTTAATAAAATACCCTTTTATTTTTATCAAGAATAATCTAATTAGGATTGTTAATTTTTTTAATAAAATACCCTTTTATTTTTATCAAGAATAATCAATCCTTTTTCTTTATTTGCCTGCAAGATCCGTGATTTGCAATATTTCAAATTGTTTGAGATTAATATCTTCTTTGATTTACTAAAAAAGAAAAAAGAAATCTTCTTTCAAATATTTTTTTGAAGGTTAAATCTCTTTGATAGTAAATAAAAGAACAAACCCACGAAATATACTCTGCATATATGAACCATCTTCCTCAATACTTATATAACAATATAGCCTTTACATTATTAAAAATATATCTCATTCAATGGTTACAAGTGGCCTTTTTAATTTGTGACAAATAACATTCTAAAGTAATTACAACTGCTATTGTCGTTTTTTTTTTTTTTTCGGGGCCAACATCACATATTATTCTATAGAAATAGTTCACCGTACAAAAACAACTAACAAAGCCAGCAAAAGGAATTAAAGGCAAACAAGAATAAAAAAAAACCAGATCAGCCAACCTCAATAACAAAGGAAGAAGGCTCATCAGAGTGTTAAGACATTCCACAGGCAGGATTTTAACCAAGAGAGATTGATTATAGCAGATAAAGCTTTAAAACCCCATGCCTCCATCATCCTTTAGAATAATGTATCAGGAATAGTATGTCGAAAAATATGGTGATGTTTATTATTTCACTTATTAATTTATTAATATTACTTGTAAATTATATCTGTTTGTCAGACAAGCAATAATATTAATTAATTTACTAATTTTACTTGTTAATTTACTAACATTTGCTTTAAATTATAAGATTCATTAGTAATTTACAACTAATTTTAGTAAATTATAAAACATGTCAATAATTTACATTAATGTTAACAAATTAACAAGTGAAGTTAGCAATTTAACAACCGATGTCACTATTTATGATTGAACAACTAATGTCAAATATTATATAATTATTAATATGTAAACTCATGTAATTCACAACTTATATTAGTATATTAACAAGTGAAATAAAAAAATTAACAAGTTAACAACTAGTGATTTTGCATAATAAATTAAGGGTACATTAGTCTTTTCACAGTTAAAATTATTTTCACTTTCATCTCTTAAACTGAACTAAAATTACAAAATTTTAAAAACCTATTAATAATTATGTCACATCCCTTATCCTTATTTGAAATTCTCCCTTTCTAATTTCCTTTCAATAATTATAGTTGTAGCAACTATAATAATAATAATATTTTTTGGGTAAATTATATTTTTAGATCTTTGAGATTAAAAGAATCTAGCATGGAAAATTAAAAGTAAAAACTTCATTATCCGGTTATCTCTTTTTTAACGTAGCTTTATGATATTTAGAATCTAGGATCAGTTGGTAAAATTTAAATACTGTTTACACCTAATTAGAGATAATTTTTTGAAGACATTTTTTCATTTATATGAATTTAAATTTAAACCAAAAATCTTATATTTATGTGATTATTACTCTTCTAACTATTCAACACATAAGGACTTCCCTGTCATCCATATTTCATTATGACAGTTAAAAAATTGATAAAATATCTTTTTATTTTATCAAAAATAATAAAATCAATGGTCCTTTTTAATGCATGAAAAATATCATTGAATAAAATAAAATATATCACATAAATAATGAGAACATATTTTAATTTAGGTAATTATTTGGATTTTTCTTTATTTGCCCGCAAGATCCATCATTTGCAATATTTCAAATTGTTTGATTTCAAACTGTTTAAGATTAAAGAAATCTTCTTTCAATAATTTGTTCTAAAGTTAAATCTCTTTGATAGTAAAGATAACAACAAACAAGAAAAAGCAAACAAAACCAAAAAAGTTAGTCAATCTGAAAAATAAAAGAAAAGAAAAGAAAAGAAAACATATTAACAAAGGCAGATGAAAATAAAAACTTCATCTACAGTGTCATCTTTGTTTGTTTTTTAGGCTTGTCAAAATTTCTTTGGATGAA